GTAAATTTTTATAACGCGGTAAAAGTACAGAATTTTGACATTTTTAGTAAATACTTTTACAAAGGCACTTTTTTTTTTTAAGCTGAAAAATACTTTTACAAAGGCTCGATTATAATCTTTTATGAAACAAAAATGACTGAACATTTTTCCTATTATTCAGGATATACTACCTCTGGTCCTAATTATAAGAGCCAATTGACTAATTTGAGGAGATTAATGAAGTAAGTTGAGTTAGTTATTTGTCCTAAATATATGTTGTCTTTCCTAAAATATCCTTCCTAATCAAGTGTATTGACTAGAACTATAATTATTAGAAGGACAATTTTAAAACAAATTAAGTAAATATGAGAGACAAAGTGGATTGGGGTCTTATATTTAGAATCAAAATAAAAGGCAAACAATGTCTTATATTAAGAATCAGAAGTGGTATTTTTTAATTATTCGCCCCTGACCCCGCGGAACAGGCCTGAATACGAATACATATTCAGTAACTTGCCAACTATTATATGCTTTAAAAAAAAAAAAACTCGATTGTGAAACTTTCCATACACATTTCGTGAAAAAGATAATATACAGTAATTCTATAATATCTGTCAAAGTGTGACATATATAGATGTTTAATTATACTTAGAATGTTATGGCCAAAAAAATTATATTATATTTAGAGTATTGAATCTCGTCATATTCAGGTCAAAAAAATCTCATAATATAATATCATTCATCTTGACCGTTGCCGTCTTGCTTATGAGATGGAGGCTAATCAAACTGCATGCATTGAAAGGAGATAAGGGTAACACAACGTCAACACGCACTTTTAATTGTTTTTGGAAAAATTTAAGCTAAGTCCCACAATACAGATTTAATATATTTTCAGGTTCAAAAGATTCTGAAAATTCATTTCAAATTTTTTTGACCCAAAATAAAATTAAAAAAAAATCAACGCTACATATAAAAATTTACAACAAAAAATAAAAAAAATAGCTAAGAACATTTAATTTTATATTGGGTCAAGAGAATAAATTGAATTTTTAAAATTTCTTGGACGTGAAATATTTTTCCATACACTTATTGTAACCCTCTTTATAGGAGGGATTTGATCGCCCAACCTTCTTAATAAGAGGGGTGGTGGTGCTTGAACCGAGGCCCATTGGCGATCAGTGTGAGATTTAGCTGAATTTTTCCCCCCTTTTTTAAAAAATTCCCTACACACGTGATACATAATAAAGAATACGATTCATTGGAATCTTACAATTGAAGTAATAAAATCCAAAAATAGATTAGCTTCAATATAAAGCATGCGTGGTGTCCGATGCCAAAATTCACAAAGCAAAAATATAATAGCAAAACGACGAGTGATGTTGGATGATACTCCCTCCTATTTTAAATACATAAAAGCTTAATAAAAGGTTTGTTTTAGGTTTATTTTAGTCATGACAGAAAAAGTTTGTTTTAGCATTTTATATAAGTCCTCAATTTATTTCGCATCTGGAATTGATCATTTTTTAAAATAAATATTACAAGAGGATTGGAATACAGATAATTAAAAAAATTATTTTAAAAAATTAACACATATATATTATGAATAATTAACGTATATAAATTAATTATCTAACTCTTATATTAACTTATAATTATAATTCTCGTAAACAGTCTATAGAAAACAATTACTGTTAACATTTATCAAAATTTCATGCTTATTGTTTGTTACAAGCTTTATAATAAAACTAATAAAATATAGGTTAATATAATTTTTGGTTTTTTAAATTTTTTGTCATTTTAGTTTTGGCTCCTCAAGTTTTAAATTATATATTTTGATTTCTCAAATTTTGTTTCATTTATAACATTAGTCCCTATAACCTAATAAAAGCCTAGATCATTTTGCCCATTGAAAGACTAAAATTTATAATTTAAAACTTAAGAAACTAACACTAAAATAAAAACAAACTTGAGGAACTAAAAATTCTATTAACCTTTCAAATATTAACAAATAGTATCCTTCTATATTAAATATTAAGTATGATAATAACAAGAGTTAATATTATCTTTGTTTCTTGAAATTTGACTATGTTTTAGTTTGGTTCTTGAAATTTAAAATTAGTGATTTTGATTTCTAAACTTTGATTTTATTTTAATTTGTCTAAACATTTTTAATCCATAAGATAGTATTTTTGTCTTAAAACAAGATTTCAAGGATAAATAAATATTGATTTTGAATTTTAAAGATCAATGTGAAATTTTAAACAAGAAAAAAAATAATACTAAAATACGCTAAAAATACTAAAGGACAAATTAAGGTGAATAAATTTTAAAATCATAAATCAGACTCTTCATACTATTTTGAAATTTTAAAATATTATAAAATCATAACATTGTCCTCACTCCCAGTGAATGATTTCATATAGCTATTAACTATTCTAATTTAACTATTGACTATTTTCATTTTTAAAGTCCTGACAACTATTTTTGTATAACTATTTACCACATAAGAATAGTAAATAACTAAACAAAAAGTAGTCATTGGATCTATAATAACACTTAATGCGCCTGTTGAAACAAAAATAGATAATAGCAAAACTAGAGTAGTTAATTAATGAATTATAATACTAAAATAGTTAGTAACTAAACGGAGTAGTTACGGATGTTTCAAAAAAAATAATAATTAATAGCTAAAAAAGAGTGGTTAATATATAAGAAATGGTAGTCACTAAAGCTCCAGTGATTGATCACTAGAGTTTCAATGACAAGTCTACAAAGCTTTGGTGGCTAGCCACTGGCAAAGTCACTGATATTGGAGCTATAGCAGTCAAGGTTGTCAATCTCATGAGTCTAAACAAACTCATAATGATGATATAAACTCGAATTATAAACTCAGATTGTAAACTCGTAAAAGTTTATTTTTATTAATAAACTAGTATTAAAAATATGTAATCAAATAACTAATATATATAAAATGAGAATAATTTCATTTAAATATATTTTAGATTTAAATGATTGAAATTATATCCATTAATGTTCATAATTTATCACATTCAATAAAGAAATTTTTATAAAATTCATATACATCACTAAACATAATTAAATTAAAAAATTTGACACGAGTTTAAGAATGAGTTGACACGATTTTACACACTAAAAACATAAAAAAGATAAACTCGGTAAATAAACTCATAAGTTTAACTGAATTTACAATTATCATGAGTTTAAGAGTGAATCGACAAGATTTTGTTAGTTGAAAACATAAAAACGTTAAATTTGGAAAATCAACTCGCAAGTTTGATAACAGTAGTGCCAGCCAAGAACTGGCTAAGGATGATGATGTAATAATTTTTTAAAAAAGAAAAAAATAGTAAAAAATATTTGTATAATTTTGCCAAATTAATTTTTTAAAAAAAATAGTACAAAAAAATCAGAATCAAGATTTTAAAATTTAGCCACGCTAATATATTTCATAACAATTTTAAAAATATTTTATCGTCTTTTTCTCCTCCCTTCAAACATTAAAAGTGATAGTTATCCTAATAATAAATAATCATTAGTTGGCAGGTGGCAGCGACGGTGCGAAAGGAATCAGCTTTTTTGTTTTTATTTCGTGGCGGTCCTTCCAATGGATGGATGCTTATTTTTTAAAAGGACTTTTTTCAGAAAAAGAAATTGTTTGGCCAGAACATCTTGAGTTGAATAGTAAGTTTACTTATTTTTTTCTCTTTTTTTTTATCTTGATTCTACTAAAAATTTTCTCCCCTCCCCTCCCCAACCAAACAAGGGGTGTAAAATCTAGTCATATTGAAAGTCTAAGAGAAACTACCCTATTCATTCATTATTTCTAGATTATGTACTTGCCATAAATTTTATGCTTGATATTAATATTAAAAATTGAAGATAATTTTATTCAAAAGTGTTGAATCTTCCTAGCTTTTGTCTGCACTCAGAAGGCTAAACCCATGGGTGTCCTTTTATTAACTAAAAATTTCAACTTTTAAGTAAACCAAACAAAAAAATTCAATTTTTAAAGTTTTATTAGAACAATATTTGTTAAAATTTATTTTATTTTTTCTGAAAAAATTATCGTATATTATTCAATATATTAATATCACTCATAAAATATTAAAAATGTAAGGAAGCGCACAAATTCTTCTCCCTACTGCGGTCACTTATTTCCCTTTCTATTAAAGATGGGGTAAAAATTAATATAAGTTGAATATAAAGTAAATATTTATTAAAAATTTTCGAATAAATATTTTTTAGATAATGTAAAATAAAATAGCATAAGTAACTATAAATAAATGAGTGTGTCAATGAAAGTATAAATAACTATATATTTTTCCAACCATCACAATCAAATCATAAGTAACTAATTTTTTAATTCTCCTCACGTGTTTTTTTGTGTTTAATTAGAGTTGAAGACAGAAATAAATAACAAATCCTTTAATTTTAGAATTTGTTACCCTTGATCATATAAACCATTCATTTCAAGGTTATATATTTTTTGAATTAATTTTGATGAAAAGCAATTTAAAAGAGTAATTATTTAAAAGGGCTAAAGTTTCATAATATTAAATAAAAATATACATAATTTTTGTTAAATCAAAAGAACCAATTCCTGTTCGCAAAATTTTCATACCAAATATGATATTTTTCAATATTTTTTTATATACTTCTCCATATGTCTTTTATTAAAAAAAAGAAAAGAAGAGAAAGTCTAGTTGCCGTTTAAAAAGGTGTTTAAGGATCAAGAAAAGTATTTTTTAAAAACATGAAAATAAATATCATACAGATTTAATTTTTTTGTTGATAAAAATTTGTTTCTTTTTGGTTTTTATTGAAGTGGTGAGCAGCATGAAAACTTTTTAGATTTAAGCTCATATCATAATCAAATAAGGAAAAAAAAAAATCTTTTTGGCTAAATACATCAAGAAAATTTCACAAGACTGCACGTGCCGTGGTAGCGGCAGTTTTCACTTTCAACCTTCATCCGGTGACGATAAAGCATGAAACTTCATGCCTCGAACTGAAATGAAACCAGAAGCACTGTGGAGTCCATCACTTGCCAAACTCACACTCCTCTCTCACTGAAGCGTTTGGCTGGCGTGACCCCTACGCCACTTCCCCCCTCTCGCTCCATGTCTACCCAGGACCAACCACTCTTACACGGCTCACGCGAGGAGGAGGCGACTGAAACCGCCTATGATTCGTCGGAGAAGATCGTTGTCGTCGGGGTTGCCGACGCCGACGCCGACGATTTCGGTCGGGCGCCACCGTTCTCATGGAAGAAGCTCTGGCTTTTCACTGGCCCTGGCTTTCTCATGAGCATCGCGTTTCTCGATCCTGGGAATTTGGAGGGTGATCTTCAGGCTGGTGCTGTTGCTGGCTACTCACTTCTATGGCTCCTCATGTGGGCGACGGCTATGGGGCTTCTCGTTCAGCTCCTGTCCGCCAGGCTCGGCGTCGCCACCGGAAGGCACTTGGCTGAGCTCTGCCGAGAGGAGTACCCCACGTGGGCCATGATGGTGTTGTGGTTTATGGCGGAGGTGGCTCTAATTGGGGCTGACATCCAAGAGGTTATTGGAAGTGCTATTGCTATTAGGATTCTAAGTAACGGATTTGTGCCTCTTTGGGCTGGGGTCGTCATCACAGCTTTGGATTGGTAATTAACTAGTCATTATCTGTTCTTTCTTGAACTTGCGGTATTTTCATTTTTGACTTGGTTTTGTTCGTTCTTGCTTTCTTCTTTCTACACTTTAGAAACAATCGATGCTGCTCTCGGGTTAATTGAACTTCTTCCGAGGAACTATACCCTCTTTATAAGTTTAATGTTTAAGTTCTTCAAAAGTTTTACGAAATTAAGCTCTTGGAAAAGTTTATGAATTACCTTCTTTGGCACTTTTACAAAAAGAAAATCTCAGCGTAAACTCCAGAGGGAAGAATTCGAGGTTGATTATTGTTATTAGTTTCAGAGAAGAAATTATCCACAAGGACCAGAACGAGTATTTTAAACGATACATTTGTTGGCTCTTGCAGTTTTATTTTTCTTTTTCTGGAGAACTATGGTGTGAGGAAACTGGAAGCACTTTTTGCAGTTCTCATTGGTATAATGGCGCTTTCATTTGCGTGGATGTTTGGCGAAGCAAAGCCCGACGGCTTAAATATTCTTCTAGGTAAGAAGTTTATTTCTTTGATTTGGAATTTTGTATTTGTGCTGATTTTCCTTCGTTATATGATTTCATGATCGATGTTTTCTATCTGACAGAGTCTGAGTTATCTGTGTAGGTCTTTTGGTTCCAAAACTTAGTTCCAAAACAATACAGCAGGCTGTTGCAGTTGTAGGCGGCATCATCATGCCTCACAATGTGTTCTTGCATTCTGCTCTTGTTCAATCGAGACAGATTGACTCAACCAAGAAAGGACGAGTTCAAGAAGCTCTTAATTATTATACTATTGAATCCGCTGCAGCACTTGCGGTCTCGTTAGTCATTAACATATTTGTCACAACTGTGTTTGCCAAGGGTTTCTATGGTACTGAACAAGCAAATAGCGTTGGTCTTGAAAATGCAGGGCAGTATCTTCAGCAGAAGTATGGTGGTGGACTTTTTCCTATCTTATATATATGGGGTATTGGGTTATTAGCGGCTGGCCAAAGTAGCACCATTACTGGCACTTATGCCGGACAATTTATCATGGGGGGTTTTCTGAATTTAAGGTTGAAAAAATGGGTGAGGGCTTTAATTACACGAAGTTGTGCTATTATCCCAACCATGATCGTTGCTCTTGTCTTTAATTCCTCTGAGGACTCATTAGATGTCCTAAACGAATGGCTCAATATTCTTCAGTCAGTTCAGATCCCTTTTGCTCTTATTCCCTTGCTTTGCTTGGTGTCAAAGGAGCAGTTGATGGGGACTTTCAGGATTGGCGTTGTCCTCAAGGTATATTGTTTTTCAACTGATTTCTTTTTTGTCAATTTTGTGGCTTATAAGTTGATTTATTTGGCATAGGACTTGAAATGCTGATAATTCACTTCATATGAAGGCCATCCAAGGGAATAATTCATAACTGATTCAATGTATATCTAATCTGTTTTGTTACTAAGAGTTAAATATGACTGAAATGAATTGGTGTTTTGGCCTTACTGTCTTGTCTCGAGTATAAATAGAGCTAAAGTGGTATCTATTGAAGTAGCATAGCCACTTTCCTCTTTTTATGATGATGAGTGTATTTTGGCGTCTAATATGCGTGTAGAATTAGTGAATATTCTGTGTTCAGTATCTATATTTCATTATTTTGTGCTCCTTTTGAGTTTTTCTTGTTCTTGTGCTTATTCACCACGTGTGTCAATGACTGACCTAGTGACTTCACCTAGCATATGCATGAACATACTTAAAAGCCCACATCTGTGATGAAGTCTGCGGCTTTGGTGTTGTCTGAAGACTGTAGCTTCTACTTTCAAGACTCCATGGGGTTTGATTATAAATTCAATGCTCTGACTTTTTTGGCAATTATGTTGTTTAACTAGATCATGAATCTGCATTATTTTAATTTAGAATTACATTTCAGCATCCCTTGTTCATAATCGCACGATGTTCTTAGTTGCTTGTTCTAATCACTTGGCTTAAAAAGTACTAAGTGGCTTCTGATGTGGGTACAGATTATTTCCTGGTTTGTGGCTGCTTTAGTTATAGTCATTAATGGCTATCTGTTGGTGGAATTCTTCATCTCTGAAGTGAGTGGAGCAGTGGTTAGCACCGTAGTGTCTGTGTTCACAGTCATGTATGTTGCATTCATAATCTACCTCGCTTCACGGATGATCACCTTCTTGCCGTGGCATAGACCATGGCAAACCAAGGCAAACACTGACACGGAATTGACGAGTTGATTGATTCCCAGACCAAGATCAAACATACAAGCCTTGAGATGTTACTGAAGGCTTTCAACAAGACTTGTCATGCCCTGTATTCTTTTTAGGCATATTCGTGCTTTTTGTTTTGTATTACAAGTTTATGCAGGGGAATATTGCAGTGTAGATTTTTCTCTGTCATGATACTTGCAGTATAGATCTTTACTTTCTAGTGATGTAATGGCTGTACCATAGAAGTTGTAATATGTCAGCTCCTTCCTGCATTTTCAGTCCGTGGTGGGAATTGTTAATTAGAAAGTATACATTATAATCAAGCGAGGTGTCGACTTTGTCAATGATGTAGAGAATTCTTCAAAGTTATATGTTCCTTTGGTTAATGTTTACGCTCACTTGGCCACAAAATACATTCTTCAGCGGTGCTTTTCTTGCCTGGATTTTCTGTATTAGAAACGATAACGTAAAAACTGAAGCCTTTTTTTTTTTTTTAGTTTTGAAATTTTTTTATTTAAAAAGGATGGTGATACAAAATCATGCAAGATATTTCTATATCTCATCACTATCTCCGAATTCGGTGAAAATATTCTCGTTAGGTTCGATTTCGTATGAGGATTCTAAAAAACAAGATATTATTGTAAAATTTAATCATTTGGACGTTCATCTGAAACTGATTTGATTTTAGTCTGTTTGAGGCCAATTGAAAAAAAAATCTCCTCTGTGACTTTCCTTTCTTCTGATTTATTTATTTCCTTTGGTAGTTATGGATCCAACCTCTGGCTAGGAATTATCAACAAACAACCATATCAATTATATGTGGGGGGCTTACCCAATTAATTATGAAAGAGAAAAGATGAAAATAAATTATTTATTTTTTCTTCTCTTTTCTTAATTTAGTACTCTACTCCCTTCGTTCTTTTTTATAAGTAACAATTACTATCTTCCTCTTGTCCCTAAACATAAACAACATTTGCAAGTTGTCTTAAATTTTGTAACAAATTTTCTATTTTGTCACTATTAATTACTTTTTTTAATATTTAATATATTTATTGTCTCATTTTCTAACCCATTATTTCTCTCCATCACATATTCTCTCTTTTTTATAATTTTTTTATTATAATAATTTTCTTATTCTTTGTCTTATACTCTTTTCCTCATAAAAAAGGTATTTTGGAGAAAGAACTTTTAATTTTTACGTATTGTATTTAACTAACTTTTTGATGTACGTAATGTAGTCCTATATTTTTTATAATAATGGACGAAGGGAGTATATTTTAACTTGTGATTTTAAATGTCGGATGATTCATACTTCTACCGACAAATTTGCAAATTTTAATGAAAACTCATTCAGTGATTTGCACAAGATATTGATAAGAGACTTCAGAATTTTTTTTATTAATATATATCTGAGAATTTAAATCAATTTCTCATATTTTTCAAAAACTATTTTCCATTAAAATTAAAATTAAAAGTATTTTTTAAGATGGCAAAAAAAAATTTTGGGTGAAAAAAGGTATTTTTTAAAAAAATGCGATGCATTTCTCCATTTTTTTTTTTTGCCAGCAGATGCATTTCTCCAATTTAGATCCCCATACAAAAATATAACTTTGGTACGTAAGTCCTCAAGACAAATCATTAATATTTTGGACCAACAGGTAACGAATAGTCTCTTTTTTTTTTTTGTGGGCAAAAGGAAAAAAAAACCTGGTACTTTTTTTTTTGTGAATTAATTTTACAGTTATTATATTCGTTTAACCGGAGAAAGGCATCCGAGATGAACTGAATTCTGGAGGTTGGTTCTATTGTGTGGCAAGAGATCCTTTGACATTGCAACTCTCAATTTTGAACCCTTTCGGATCCCTGAGCCTCGGTTTCAATGGCCGTCTAGGGTTTTGATGTTGTGTGATAGCTGACTGTGGTCGAGGTATGTTTTTCTATCCTAAAATTTGCTCCCCTCCATTATTCCATTAACAAGCTTTTCCCGTCCCATTTCTTTTCTTGTGATGCTGCAGTTTCAGAGTGTTCATCAGTTTGTTGGTTTGTTTGCTTTTTTGCCCCGTGCTCGATGTGGATTTGTTTGCTTCTGCAAAAAAAGAAACTGTAACACTTTATGATGTCTGGTGAATGAAAATTATCGGAACCACGGATGTAATTGGGTGCGTTCTGTTTGGGCTGCAAGAAAGCTTGAGATAAATTAGTTTTACTGTCGGAGCTTGTGTTTATGTATTAATTATGAAATTATATATATTTTAATTATAAGTTAATTGTTTCGATTCTTTTTCAACATCGTTTGCTTTTCTTTCCTTATGAATGTACTCTATAGTTTATTTTATATACTGACTTATATGGGTAGAATAATTACATCGGATAGACTAAAATTGGCAATCAGATTCGAAAAACTTATGTTCAATCGGCACCGCGAATATGCAGACTGTTAGGTAGATACCCTTCAACTGATAATTCCTGGAACTAAATAAATATGTTATATTAAACGCAAGGCTACAATGGAGAATGATGTAACTCATTAAAAAAAAATCAATGCTGAAGAGGAACACTTGATTATCCTTTCTATTTAAATTGCAAGGTTTTTCTTTACGTGAATTCATCAGAAATTATTGCTAGTCTCGTGGAAACATCATCATTTTTTATAGATCTAACCATTAAATTGAACTTGTCTTTAAGTTCTGCTGGCCACATTTGATAAATGCTGACATGGAGCAAGGCAACGACAATGAGGCATCATTGCTGATAGAGCAGCTTGGTCATGCATTTCTTGAACTAGAAGCTCGCAAGGACGCTTTTGAGAATAACATTCAGTGGGATGAAATTAAGCAACATTTCCTTGATCTTGAGTCTGCATTGAAGAAGAAACTTGAAGAGCTTGAGGCTAAGGGGAGAGATTATGAAAAGAAGAAACTAGAAGTGCATACCCAGCTTGCAGAGAGAGAGGAAGAGGTTGCTTCTAAAGAACAAGACCTTTTAGATCGGGTGCAGGAGCTAAAAGATGCTGCTGTTGCTGCCATTGTAGAGGCTTGTGCAAATCACCAGGCAACATCCTTGGAGTCTGTAGATGAAGGGGAGAACGAAGATAACAAGGTAAGAAGCTCTTTTGGTGATGAAAACTCCCAAGAGGATGATTTTCCTTATAAATTGGGTGCAAATGAGGTTAAGCCACGTCCAGAGCTGACACATTTTTGTGAGCAAATGGATGCAAAAGGTCTTCTGAATTATACTGTGGAGAGTAAAAAAAACATTTCTGTCTTTCGTGAAGAACTGTCTATTGCACTTGAAAGTGCAACTGAACCAGCCGACTTGGTGCTGGATTCACTGGAGGGGTTTTACCCCACTAATGAAACTACCCAACTAGGAGATAAAATGGATGCTGCCCTTCAGGGCATGCGCAAATCCTGTGTTATACTTATGGAAGCCTTCGCCACCTTGTTGGCAAGGGCTGAATCAGATACTGATCACCTTCTGAGCCCTGAAACCAAGCAGCAAGCCAAGGCAATTGCTGATGAGTGGAGGCCTAAGTTGGCTAGAGCAGGCACTTATGCTGCCAATGGAAATTCATTGGAGGCAGAGGCATTCTTGCAGCTCCTCTCGACTTTTAAGATTGCCTCAGGGTTTGATGAAGAAGAACTCTGCAAGCTTGTTCTTGCAGCTGCTCAACACAGGCAGGCTCCTGAGCTCTGCCGTTCTCTTGGGTTAACTCACAAAGTGCCAGGTTGGTGTTCATTCAATTAACTGGCCTGTGAAGTCTGCAATGAAGGACTGTCCCATCAGTGCCGTCCTTGACAATAGATGACTAGTTTTATCTAGAGTAACGTAGGAAGTTAGGTAACCTGAAAAAGCATAGACACGGGCACATATGCTGCTTTTGATAAAATTTTACATGCTAAGAGGTAATACGATTGTCATATGTTGATTTCCCCCCGTTATATTTTATGCAGATATTGTGGAATTACTAATCAATGATGGGAAACAAATCGCAGCTGTACATTTTATTCAGGCCTTCCTGCTTAACGAGAGATTTGCCCCTGTACCCCTTTTAAAGGCTTATCTTAAGGACCTACGGAGAAATTCACAAGGAAAGGTTGGAGGCAGCGTTGCTGGTGAGAAGGTAGCTTTGATGGTCAATTGTAGTTTAAAGTAATCAAGTGATTGTCTGAAGTTCTCTCTTAACTCTTGTCCCTAATTGCTTGTGATAAGAGTTAATTGGAATTTGTCATTTATTGCAGAATGATGCTAATGCTCAAGAGCTTGCAGCCCTCAAAGCTGTAATCAAGTGCGTTGAAGAGTACAAGCTTGAGTCTGACTACCCACTTGATCCTCTTCAGAGGAGAGTTGCTCAACTAGATAAGCTTAAGACAGATAGAAAGAGAACTGGAGAACCTGGCAAACGTCAGCAACCGAAGAAGCCAAGGACAAATGGAGGATATTTTGCATTCCGTCCATCAGTTGGTGGTGGTGCCACCGCTTCTTCCACTATGGCTAGGCAGCCTCCCCCTGTTAGAGGACCATATCCAGGGATTCCAGACAGGTACCCTCATGCAAGCGCTATTACATATGATTATCAAGTTCCTGGCCAAACCATATACCCGCAGCAGGTAAATGACCAAAGATTGCCCTTTTATCATCGTGATGATAGGGTTGCTGCTCCTTCTAATTATGGTAGCTACATGGGTGGTAGTAGTAGTCTCCAATCATCACACCAACCATATATGTAATTTCCAGTTTTGAGCATTGTAGGAAGGAAGGCCTGGAGAGATGTACATTTGAGCCTTTGAGTTGAGTAACTTCTTTTGGCAGTGCGCCTTCTGTGCTCTGATTGTCTTTTTTCTGGGTTTCTAATGTTTATTTGCGTAGGAAGAATATTTTATGGGCCTGTGCTTTTATTTATACTCTTGTGGTAACTTCATTATGCCCATATAATATAATAAAGTTGAAAGTGGAGACCACAATCTTGGATTAGCATTTGATCGCTCTACGTGTTCCACTCTCCAAGTGGAAAGCATATGTTAATGATTCAAAATTTATATAAGGACCAAGGATGGGGTACTATCTTTCATCATTCACTACCTCTATACAGAAAGGTGGTATGATCAAATATACAAAAATCTTCAGTGATGTCATGACTTTTCCGACCTAATGAGTTAGCTATACAGTTGATTTCTCTGTTCCTAAAATCGATAGTCTCGTTTATGATATTCAGTTCTTCACTGCTTCTTGAATGATGATGTGTTCATACGGATGAGTTAAGTGTTTGTTTCTTCTGATAATATTAATTGCTTCTGTACAATCACTGAAGACCTCCATTTTCTTGATACCACTAAACCAGCTAAGTTCCAATCCTTCAACGATCCCAGGACTTTTGTTATTGCAGGCGGAAAATATACCAGTTTTGTGGCACAACCTGTCAACCGAGCTCCAGGCTTTCCCTAATTATACCTCCACAAGTTCCATAGCCATTTTTCAAGGCCGAGCCATCTATCTCTAGTCACACAAAGCCCTCTCTTGATGGTTTTGGGAAAATCTTAAGATGTATTTTCTATTTATACTCTTAACAAATTCGACGACCTTAATTCAGAATTGCATAATATTTCTTCGATCAAAACTCGGAGGTCTCTCTTGGTTTCACCTTTTCTTCATCAAATAGTCAGGTTTCGCTGATAATTTTAATAGAGAGAAGTTTAATTCAACACAAGATTGTCGAAGATCAAAATAAAATGAAAGCAATGTGTTTTCAAAAGACGCTATTGCTATTCCAGAGTCCACACCATTGCCCGAGTCCCAACACCTTCAAGGAAGCCAAGCATTGAACATATCTATTTCATAGTCCCTTGACTTCTCAATTTTTATCCGGTCACTTTTAAGAAGTACGAACTTCATTTTCTTAAAATATTTAGGAATCACAACAAAATTCAAAAGCTTCTTAAAAAGTTTTTTATCCTGCAAAAACAGCAGTGTTCTTCCCTTTTCAATTTTTAATGTAGGACTTAATTAACTAATTTGAGTATATTAAGAATGTTAGTTGAGTTAGTTAATACTACCTCCGATTCTAATTATAAGACCCAGTTGACTAATTCGAAGAGATTAAAGAAGTAAGTTAAGTTAGTTATTTGTAATAAATAAATATTGTCATTCCTAAAATATCCTTGCTAATTAAGTGTATTGGCTAGAACTATCATTATTAGAAGGGCTATCTTGGAAAAAAATACATAAATATGAGAGACAAAATAGATTGGGGTCTTATAATTGGAATCAAACTAAAAATCAAATGGGGTCTTATATTAAGGACCAGAAGTAGTATAATGTATTTCTTTTAAAACACCCTAAACATCTTCCTTAATTTCCTCTCTATTTCTCTTACTTGATTATTATTGAAAGAATATCAATATGGTTAATTTGAAAAAAGTTAATAAACATATAAAATAAATCTTATATATAGGATCAATATTAACTTTTCAGTTAAATCTTACATTAAGTATCGGAGGAGTATATGTTTACCGTCCTAATTTCATCTCACACGTCTCCGGAATGTAAATTAAAGAATCATGTTGAAGGGAGAAATAGAGCAGTTAGAAAAAGCGCAACTAACTATGCTATTTTTTTTGGTAGCATTGTAAACGGTTGAGAAATCAAAGTCCACATGTCACAAAATTTAAGATTGCATTTAGAATGACTTATAAATAATTTTTTAATCATAATTTATAAAATTTGATATAAGTATGTAAGAGAAATTTTGTATTGCCTTATATAAAATATGCTTATAAATACTTAAAATCGTGATTCCAAACCAATTATGAGTTGAAAGGGTTGCCGGCCACGTCCATATGTAATGTTTTGATATGTTCTGACTTAGTGAATTTTAAGTCATTTTCTTGTTTATGTGTTTTATGGCAACTAAAGCCGAAATTTTGACATGTTTTGGGTATTGAGAAAAGATATTTCTTGTTCGTTAATCTGAACAAAGATATTTGGACCGACTTTTTGACTTTCTTTTTTTGATCTTGAGGGCTATAACTATTTTTTTATTATAATGAAAGTCAATTTTTTTAAATGAAATGACAAGACCATTATCAGGCCAAAAAAAAAGAAAGACAGAACCATCAACTGATCTTGTGTCAGGATCAAATTGGAGGCTCAGGGTCCAAAAATAGAAACACATTGCAAAACACTAACATAAGCACCACCTCAACAACATAAATGCATCGATTAATCAATGTATACAAGCTAATAATATAATGATATTAACCATATGTATTGGAATCTAAATAAAAGGCAGGAATTATAGTAACAGACTAACAGTTGTTTCTGATCAAATTCAAGTTTTAAATTGTAAGTTGATTTGAGAAGTAAGAAGTTTTAACACGCAAATAAATTATGGTTATAGTTAGGTTTCAACAACTCACATGGAAATATAACCATTGTAAAAAGTAAAAACTACTCCTTCGGTCCTTAATATAGGATCTAATTTTTTAATTGGTTTTGGTCTTAAATGTAAGATCCATTTTTCATATTTATTAATTTTCTCTAAATTACCCCTATGGATACTCCCTCAACCATAATCAAGTAAAAGAGGGAGATGAGGTATTAAGAAAGATGATTATGGTGTTTTAGGAAAAACGTGTCACTTTTCTTATAATTAACTAAGCTACCTAACTTCCTTAATCTAATCAAATTAGTTAAATGGGTCTTATATTAAGGACCAGAAAAGTACTACAGGAATATAAATAATACTCCTCCGGTCCTTATTATAAGACCCCATTTGACTTTTTATTTGGTCCTAATTATAAGACCCCAATCCATTTTGTCTCTTATATTTATGCATTTTTTCCAAGATAATCCTTCTAATGATGATAGTTTTAGCCAATATACTTAATTAGTAAGGATATTTTAGGAATGATAACACTTATTTATTATAAATAACCAACTTAACTTACTTTCTTAATCTCCTCAAATAAGTCAATTGGGTCTTATAATTAGGACCGGAGGAGTACTTGTATACTTGCTCTTTTATTTTATATACTCCCTTAACTTTTCAATATTTATCCCGTCATTTTTAAGAAGCATGGACTCCAATCCATTTTCTTGGAAATCACAACAGTACTCACAAAAATTTTAGGAGGTTTTGTTTTGCATCATGCAATTGCAAAATATTCGTTTTATACGCATGATATCAATTTTTTCCTTTCTTTCTTTGATTCCGTTTGTTATGTTTCTTAATAAAACCCTCCATAAAATTTAATTAAACATCATTTTTTTCAACAATTAAAGAAAAATTATAAATTTTTTTGGTTGATAACAAATTTTCATAACAATAAAAGCCGAAGAGTGTATATCTCTAGACCCTAGGGGACCAGAGAGTCAAGTCAAACAGGAGAAAAGTACAGTACAGTTAAAAAGAAAATCTTGCCTAACAATGCTGATTTTCTTCTTTAATAAACAAGGGGTTGAAAAGTCAGATCACATGGATTTCCACAGAGGGAATTGAAGAAGCACACCATGCAAGGCAGCCCACAGAATAGTTAGTATGCTAACCTAAACTAGAATTACTTATTAACAAAAAAGAAGAATTCATGAAAAGAAATTTAAAATTATTAAATTTTAAATTAGGTTTAATTTTCACATTTCAATGGATTTTGACAAAACTTGATTTACAAATAACAATGCATTTTTATAAGAATTTTTTATTTAAAGTTTAATAATTTTAATTTTTTTTTGTGGGATCCTCCATTAACAAAGGTAACCATAATAATAGTAGCTTTCTAAAATACTATACTTAGTAAATATAACTCTTTAATACTTTCCAAATATCATTTTTTTAAATGAAGAATGTCTCTATGAATTATGATTCGATGCCCATATAAAGCTTTTTTAATGCCTGCAATTTTTTTTTAAAAACAGATGTTAAAGTGATGGGGAATTAAACTGAAGTGATTTTTTTGAATAACAAACTGAAGTGATTTTGAAGCGTAAAATACATATGGACAAGCTGGGCGTATCATTGCACGTTTTGCAGTTTCCCTCTTCTCGCCTCCAACTGGCTTTCCGTTTTTTTTTTCTTTTTATTTGATAGCCGCTTTCTTTTACTTCAAGCAAAAATTCAACCTGTTTCACACTGAAATTAGTTAAATTCTTTTTTTGGAAAATTTTTTCAGCTCAATTAAATTTTCCGTTCAAGTGTCCCCGTCTAGGAAATTTCGTTCTCATTTTGTGTTTGCCTCGTTTTGTTCGTTCGTTTTTTGTTTTTTGCTTTTTTTTTTTGTTTTGCCCCCAAAAGAAAACCAAGAAGGCAAATGAGTTAGCGTCGTCAACTCTTCGGTCATTAAGACAAGCACCCGCTGACTTAAAACTTCTGTCCTTCTGTTCCCACCTTGCCTATCTTAACGAGATTGCTTCTGAATATTCCTTTATTATTATCTTTATCAAATTCTCTTCCTTTTTCGTTCTGATCTACTACGTTACTGTGCGGAGCTTTGCTCGGTTGGATTCGATTACGTTGAGCCAGACCGAGCCAGTGACTCATGTCACGGGAATGGACTCAGCTCGTATCCGCCGTCTGCTTATTCCTATGCCTTACGGAATTCGGTCCTTGGATCGCGCTTGCCGTCTCCGGCGATGCCGGTGACATTTTACTCTCGCAGAATCGCCACAAAGGTTCTCGACCTGCCATGATATTGCCGCTCTATCGCTCTGATCCTGATTCCTCCGTATCCGCCGTCAATCCCCATCGCAAACTCCAGAGATCCGCCGAGTCCCATCGCCATTCAAACGCTCGCATGAGGCTCTATGACGATCTTCTTCTCCATGGGTATTTTTTTTGGTCTCAATACTTATCCCTACGTGAAAGTTTTCTGTCAATCTTATTGGGAATTCGGGTGTAGGTACTATACTACGAGACTATGGATCGGGACTCCTCCGCAGAGGTTTGCCCTTATTGTTGATACGGGGAGTACTGTGACGTACGTTCCGTGCTCTTCTTGCGAACACTGTGGCAGGCACCAGGTTAATTTCTTTACACTTACATTTAGTTGATGTATAATTTTAATTTGGTCCTCCTGCTTCGTTCAAATGAATCCTTAACAGTATTCCTGCAAAAAATCATCAATTTACATGACGAAAGTAAGACCCTTTTTTTTCCCCTCTCCAGACCACAGATGTAGAATATTAAGCCCTTCTTACTTCGCTTTGCGTATTAATAATATGTTAAATTCTTATAAAATTACATGAAGTTCCTTGGCTTTGAATATCTGGCACAAGTGCTTGGGGGTCTCCTTAGTATATATCAAAATCAACTAAAGAGGTGATCTTGTGTAGAAGACCTATATCATGAGTCATGTTTATGAGGATTGCCTATCTAAGGAAATTAAAGGATAATTTAGCTTTCGACTGTGGTTGTGCGCTGTGTGTGCTTTGTAGGAGTGAAAACGGAGAGGCGGAAATTGGATGATAGAAATTCATGGGGGTGACTAGAAATAAGAATATGACCGTAGATGCATTTTTGCTTGTTCCTCCTTCTCATTTTACTCATACAAACGCATACCTTCGAATTGGTGTTAAGGACTAATCAAGCCTCTCATGTTCCAATGTGATTTCGAATATCATTATTCATTACATTTATTTTAAAACAAAGATTCAAGCAATGATTTTATTTGCCACTTCTTGAAACTTTGCTTGCATTAGTCATTTAATTTATCTTAAGTAGTTTGAATATGTTTGTCCTGTTTTATTTTATCAGGATCCGAAATTCCAGCCAGACTTGTCAAGCACCTATCAACCTGTCAAATGCTCATCAAGTTGCAACTGTGATGATAGCAGGATGCGGTGTGTTTATGAGAGACAATATGCTGAAATGAGCACTAGCAGTGGCGTCCTTGGTGAGGATGTCATCGCTTTTGGAAACCAGAGTGACCTTACCCCCCAACGTGCTGTTTTTGGCTGTGAAAATGCTGAGACTGGTGATCTTTATAGTCAGCATGCTGATGGCATCATTGGTTTGGGCCGTGGAGATCTCAGTATCGTTGATCAACTGGTTGAGAAAAATGTAATCGGTGATTCTTTCTCATTATGTTATGGTGGAATGGATCTTGGTGGGGGTGCAATGGTTCTTGGTGGCATATCTCCCCCATCAGGCATGGTTTTTGCATATTCTGATCCCGGGCGCAGGTATGTCCATTATGTTTCCTTCCATATGGATATGAGATGTCATGCATTTTCTTGAGAAATGCATTTGATTGATCTCACACATTTACTCTAGTTTCGGGATGGCAACAGTCCATATTACAATATCAATTTGAAGGAGATACATGTTGCTGGAAAGCGACTACCTCTAAAACCATCAGTTTTTGATGGAAAGCATGGGACTGTCTTGGATAGTGGTACAACTTATGCATACCTACCAGAAGCAGCATTTCATGCATTCAAAAATGCTGTAAGTCCATTGGAGTAATTTATAAATAGTTGTTGCAAATTGCATTCTGAGGTTCACCTTACGTTGTCTATACATTTTAAGTCGTTTTCCCCATTGTGACCTTCTATTTGATGTTGGTAATTCATTTCTGTAGTACAAAAATTATACTCAATATATTGTAGCTATAATGATGCTAGCCTTGCTAAGTTGCAAATGTAGTTGGAGCGTGCACGTGTGTGCGCACCTTGAATTGTTCTCCAGATATATTTGGCAAGTTCTGTCACCTATGATACACTGGTACATTGTTTATAAAATTTCAACATAATAGTAAAATCCATTGCATGTAAAACTGAATAAAATCAGATAATATTTCAGACTGTTCCAAAATTTTGATGCCTTGCTGCTTAAGGATATTTGAGCGCGCTATGATTTCTAAATACTTTGAAGGTGCTCCTTTCTGTGCTGCTTCATTGTTTTGGGCTCTTAGACTTCGTTCAATGAATTCCTTATCAGAAAGCATTGCAATCTTTCAAGTCAACCATGACGAAGCAAAATAGGATAGTCTGCAATGGCACTTTAACAATATTCTTCATGATCAATACAGACAAATCTGTAATTTAGCCAATTTTCAGTCTTCATTTCTGTGGAGCTGCCTTAACTAATTCGTGATTAAAAAAGTCTAGTGGGGTGCAGGTTAGTCATATGTATGTATAGCAAAGATAATGAATTTCTGCTTACCATATTTATGTAAAATGACTTGTTTAGGACCAGCTTTGTTTCCATTGGCAAAAAAAATGGTTCTGTTTCTTCTAAAAATATGCAATTTGGAGCATTAGATAAATATAAAATTTATGTGCTTGTAACCACCAGTTCTCGGTATCTTTCCCTTCTAGAAAGCCTTGATAGATTTTCTTGTTGCTAATTCTCGCAAATTAAGATTTTCTGTATTTCTTTTCACAGAGGTGGTTCTATCATGTATACTTTTCTATGTCAAGTTCATAGTGCCAATGATTCTGATTATGTGTTTCTTTGTTTGCAGATTAAGAAAGAACTACACTCCTTGAAGCAAATCAATGGCCCTGATCCCAATTACCATGATATATGTTTTTCTGGTGCTGGAAAGTATGTCTGTAGCTAAATTAAAGATTGAACCGACACTCTACTGTTGAAGTTTAATTTAATTAACATTTAAAGTCTAATTGTATTTCAGCGCTGTCTCTGAACTCTCCAAAAGCTTTCCCACAGTGGACATGGTATTTGGAAATGGTGCCAAACTGTCCCTGTCGCCTGAAAATTACCTGTTCCGGGTATGTTTTCTATAAAGATCATTAGCTTTAACTGAATTCAAAGTCTCTTGCTATAGTTTATTGAATGTTTTCTGACTGATGCTTTTCATGTTGCTATTGTTTATCAAGCATTCAAAGGTGCGAGGAGCATACTGTCTTGGGATTTTTCAGAACGGGAAGGATCCAACTACTCTTTTGGGAGGTATTTTATTTGCTTGCATGAACATTTTGCCATTTCATGCTTTACCCTCAAGTGGAAAAAATGGTATTTCTTGTTATGTTAGATAGCTAGCTTAAGTCGCTGAAATATTCAGGGCCAGTTTGGTACTCATTTGGAAAGGGAATCCATTTGTAATATACAAAGAACGTGATATATTAAGTTTCTCATATCCTTGTGGTCATTATTCACTAGCGGACGCCCCTTTTTAATTACATTTTCTTCTTATGGAGGCGTAAAGGTCACTGCTCATTTTGTTTAGATTTCCTTTCCCTTTCCATATCTAGCGTTCTGCGTGCCAGATGGCATCAGACCTATTGACATTTGTTATTGATTAAGGTATCATTGTCCGTAACATTCTCGTAACATATGATCGTGAGCATACAAAAGTTGGTTTCTGGAGAACTAATTGTTCTGAGTTGTGGGAAAGATTGCAAATATCTGGTGCCCCGCCACCAATGCCCCCAAATTCAGAAGGAACAAATATAACTGAAGCATCAGAACCTCCAGTTGCTGCTCCATCAACATCACAACATGACTCACATCCAGGTATTAGAAACTACTGATCTCCAGCATAAATTTAACTATGTATTGACACATAGTGTTTTCACAAGGACGAGATGTTGCAATATGTGTGTTTCATTTGTTATAAACTTAGTCTGCCGTTGATATTATTTTTTAAAGAAACTAGTATGATCTCATTAAGTTATATGCTTGCTGATGTGTCACAGGTGGGCTCCAAATTACACGAGTGACATTTGTTATTTCATTTAACATTAGCTACTCGGATATGATGCCTCATATTACAGAACTGGCTGAACTCATAGCCCATGACTTGGATGTTAATACTTCACAGGTTAGAAAATGGTCACTAAATTTTGGGAGCCCTTAGGTTGCATAGTTGTTGCTCCAACTATACGTTTTCAGGCTTTTTATTGTTGAGGTGGGTGGGTGAGAACTGGGTAGATTTCCTTGATTCATCTTGGGGCAACTCCCAATATACCCCAAAAACTATAGGTTAGCCTTTCAGTTGATCTTCATAGTTACTTTAGAGTAACAACTTTCTTGAATGAATATTCACAGGTTCACTTGATGAATTTGACTTCTATTGGTAACGGTTCCCTCTGTAGCTGGGCTATAATGCCAGGCGCATCTGCTGATTACATTTCTAACACAACTGCAATGGTAAGTGGACGATGTGCATTTGCATTTGTGTGAAGATTGTTCATTTACCACTGACTTTTTTATGTGACAGAGTATAATTGCTCGGCTTACTAAACACCACTTGCAACTCCCCAGCACCTTTGGAAGCTATAAATTGGTTGATTGGAATGCTGAGGCTCCACCAAAACGGTAACATTTTATTTTATTTTATATTAAAAAACACGTAGGTGGAAAATTATATTCCTCTTTCTTTTTTCCTGCTATCATATATGATGCTTGTAATACTGAGTTGCATCATGTCACACATCCTGATGGGAGAATATAATTAGGACATGAGAGAGAAAGGGGAAAAAGAGGGAATAGAGGGAAATAGAAGAGAGACAGGGAGAGGGAGGAAAAGAGAGACCGAGAGGGTAGAGAGAAAGAAAAACAGAGAAAGGTTGAGAGAAGCTAGGACGGGGTACTGCATATCATTCACATCGTAATCTGATTGAATACAATTGAAGCGGTATCCTATTTGTAGGCCTAAGTCAGGTATATAACAGCTGAGTCAATCCCTAACTGTCATCGAGCTTTTACATTTTATTATTATTATTATCATATAACACATCCAGACTGGTTGAAGCCTAATTTCCCAAGTAGTAATTTTAAAAAACTCATAACCAAGTTTTTGAGGCTCTCTGTATTATGTGCTCCTTCGCACGTCCAATTGTAAAAATCACTAAATCTTACGCATTGTTTGATGCGTTGCTGAATGTTTGCTTGGCTGAAACATGATCTTTTAGCATCACACTTATAATTTTTAGTTTTCTTTATTAATAGCCAAGCTTTTGCATTAGGTCTGAGTAGTTGCCTTTGGAAAGAACATAAAACATGAGATCATATCCGTAATTATGGAAAAAGTAATGGAGATAATGGCGGAGCCATGAAGCATTAGACATTTGAAGAAAGTAGCCATGTCTTTGGAATGTGAATCCCGATTGACACCCCCCACAATTCTAACTTAGCATAAAATTCTTGATACTTGTGTGATTTCACAATTTTCTAATACATGCTAGACATTTTAAATGTCTGTTATCTTCATTATTATTAAACATGTATTTAAAAATGTATTTACTAATGTGTATTTTCTGACATAGTTGTCTGGTATGTATATTTTCAGATTTTGTGTGTCATGACTTGCGGGTAGTTGGGAGAGAAAGCCGAGTGTAATTATATGGGAATATCAATGTACTTAAGTTCTTTGCTTAGCCGAACACATAATTTGAATAAGAAATATTTTGATGATAGAAAACTGCCTCCCTAGCCTTTGATCTGCTTAGGATTTAGGATTTAGGGTTTAGGGTTTATGGTACCCTTAGCCTTATATTTGCAGCTGTTAGCTATTGTTATTTCTCTATATACTTATCGTAGTTGCAGATTTTGTTGATAATTCTACCTACAAAATCCTTGGGCTTAGCTTTACTGAATATAGGTCAGGCCTATGGAAAGTAACTTAATATTTTCACTTACCTAAAAATGATCCAGGACTTGGTGGCAGCAATATTATATGGTGCTGGCTTTGGCTGCTATGCTTTCATTGCTTCTTGGATTATTAGCTTCTGCAATGTTCTTGATTTGGAAAAGCAGACAGCAAACCTTGCACTCATACAAGCCTGTTGATGAGGCCGTTCCGGAGCAGGAACTCCAGCCATTGTGAGCTATATTTATGTTCTTGGTGTTTTGCCTGGATAGTGTCATTCTCACATTCAACTTCTCAAACAAGGACAGCTTATGGAGCCATCGCCATTCATCAGATCAAAGATTTTTCTGAGAAACCGCAGTTCCCAGGATTTCTAGTAGCCATCATCAAAGCCTATTATTGGTACAGAAAGAATCTTCTGATATAGTGTCATCAGTGAAGACGATCTTGTTTGTGAATATTGTAATATACAGGATTTCTTTTTGTTTTAATTTGCATTTATATTGAGCTGTTGCTTTCTTAGCGGACTTGTATTCTTGCTCCGTCTGTTTCCATATTCTTATTCTGTACTGCGGTCCGCGGGCTGTCGTATGGGTTCAGTCTACAAAAATAGGTTGGCTAAGTTTATCAAAAATTTGAAATAAAATAAAGGATAACTAGACTGACGAGAAGTAGGGATATGGACACGTCACAATGATTCTAATAAGAAGTTATGAGGTGTTTTACTAATAAAATTGGTATGGTTCTTTTGAAATACCTCTGTAATACTTTTCCTTTTATTAATATAGAATCTAATTTATAGTTGAATTACAAGTTAAATTTTATACAAGGGATCGGCGATAGTATTAGATTATATATCAATTTATAAATTAAATAAATTAAAATTAATTTTAAAAAATTGATAAATATAAAAAATAAAATAAATTAAGGTTGTGTTTAGGATTAAACCTGCAAAAGTAATTTGCAGATATGCCTGGAAGGTTGTTTCTCATATAGAGCGTACACACCTTGGTACTACCAAACTGACTTCGCGGTGCCTTTCCGTCCGACCCTCCTCTTTGCAGTCATCAAAGTCCGTTGTTTCTGACGGAGCACACAATGGAAGGAGATCTAAGGGGCAGCCCTCCTAATTGCTCCACGATGCTTTCTTTGTCGTATAAATGGGGGAAATTAACAAAAAACCATGCCCGGAAGAATCGGAGATCTGAGGTTATTCCCGTCACCTCATTTTAATTATATTTAATTATATACTCGTCTGATCCTTAAAATAAGACTTAATGAACTAATTTGAGTAAATTAAGAATGTTAGTTAAGTTAGTTAATATGGTATTTTTTTCCTAAAACACTCAACATCTTTTTTAATTTTTTCCTCTTCCACTTGATTATTATTTGAGGAATATTGATAGGGTTAATTTGAGAAAAATTGATAACATGTGAAATAGATCTTGCATATAGGATTAACATTAACTTTTTAATCAGTTAATATATTAAGAATTGGAGAAATAGACAAGAACAAAAGGAGAAAATTGGGGAAAAGTTTTAAAAAAAAAAAATCGCAGGAATGACCTTACTTCGCACTTAACAAAATTTATGGAGTATTAATACTTTCTGTATCTAAAAATATATTATGTTTTTCTTACTAATAAAATTTTTAATGAGTATTTTTTTTCAATTTTCCTAGAAAAATTACTAAAGTATATATTTAATTTTTAATTTTATATAAGATTTAAGTCTATTATCTGAATTTAATATCTTAATTTAATTTTTAACCTTAGTCTCATAACATAAAAGTTGAGATTATTATTTTAAATATTGTCAAAACATTCCTAAATGCTGACATACTAAATTTAGCTATAATAAATATTGAATTAAAATATCATTATTTGATAATTCTTTGTTAAAATATAAAATTATACTGTAAGCCTTTTTTTTTAATAAAAAGCACTCTATAAACTTAACGAGTGAAGCTCAAATTTCATATAAAGTTAAGAAACCAACAGTGCACTCCTCCCAAAATAAAAATATCAATATTCCCATGAGATGGTAAATAGTATTATTCTCATAAAGAAAAAAAAACACAAATTTGAATCTCAAAAAATATAAATACTCCTGATCTGACAGACATTAATCTTATAAATAGATGATTTTGACATATTTTAAATAGTAAAAATTATTAGAAGAATAATCAAGCATGACTTATTTATTTATTTTTTAAATTCAACATGCACTTTTCTATTATTTACTTAATTTTCCTTCTAAATTTATGATACATTATATTATTTATGATTAATAATAACATGTCAGTTTTTGAGAGTTTTTAGATTTCACATCACATATGAGAAAAAGCGAAACACACAGCTACACATTGCCTAATCTTGGGGGCTAAGACTTGAGAAAAATCTACTGCATCTAATATCATTTTAAATCCTTTTTTAAGTATCTTGTCACTCTGTAAAAGCACTTTGCTATCCCACGCATCCTCTCATCTAAAAAGAGTTTGAGGGAGTGTTTGGATACTTTGAAAAGTGCTTTTCAAAAGCACTTTTCTGCAAATCGAGATAAACTCCTCCATATATTTATTTCGTAGACTGTAAAATCACTTCTGAAACCATGGTTTGGTTTTCATCCAAACACCTTCTGAATTCTAAACTTCCAACCACGGATGGGTCTTCTTGCTAACATATCTCCCATCTTACTGACAAGCAAAGAAAAAGAGAGGGAGATGGTGAAAGCTGGTGCGAGATAAGATTTTAGTATTAATTTTGTTGTGCACAATGCTCGATGTTATTTATTGTGTTCTCTGAATTGAACACCTTACACTTACACGTGAAGTAAGGTTGTGAGGTTCCTAGCCCCTAGCCCTGCACCTCTACATCAATATTAAAACATACTAGACCGAGCTATGTTTTTTTTTTTTTTTTGACCGGAAGACCAAGCTATGTTGAGAATACAATAACAAGTGATTTGTGTGAAATTCTGAAAAACATATTTTTTATGAATAGAACTAAATTTTTTTATATATTTATTTTGTATATTGTAATATAAGATCATATTTAATTTTTATTTTAATTTTAAATATAAGACTCTAATCTATTTTGTCTCTCATATTTATATATATTTTTAAAGTAGCCCTTATAACAATATAGTTATAGTCAATACACTTGATTAGCAAGGATATTTTAAGAAAGACAACACATATTTAGGACAAATAATTAACTCAACTTACTTCCTTAATCTCCTCAAATTAGTCAACTGACTCTTATAATTAGGATCAGAAGTAATACCAGACCAAGCTGTGTTGAGAATACAATAACAAGTGATTTATGGGAAATTCTGAAAAACATGTTTTTTATGAATCGAATTAAAATTTTTTATATATTTATTTTGTATATTGTAAAAATATTTTGAAAACTATGATTATGATTTTATTCAAACACTCGTCATTAACTATAGTCCGTTTGGATCGCCTAATTTCCATATGTTTTATCCATAACAAAATCTTTAACTAAATTATTAATAAAAAGTCTTGTTTGATAATTTTATTGAACCTTTTTTAAGGCTTGTAACGTTATCGATACTTCCAAAAGTCTTTTCTATATTTATCTCTATAAAACAATTTTCAACCATTTCTTCTCATCATTTCTAATTTTATTTTTCTTTTCTCATCTCAAAGGTGGTCGCATCGCATCCTTCGGAAGAGGCATCAAACAAAAACAGTGAACGTGGCTCTGCGCCTTTGTCATATTGGCAGACGCCAGCTATCCATGATAGCGATGGACAAGCTTCTACGTATTTCTTGTAATTCATACATGCTGATAAATTGCAAATCACGAGTTACATTAGAATTCAAGTACTTTATCTCCTAAATCTGTATTTGTTTAAATAAATATTTATAACTTATTTTTAAAAATGTTTTGTTATTAAGTTGACCTTTTGGGATTTAACTGTCAATCTCCCACTAAACTTTATTATATATATGAATTAATTAATATCACTATACTAATTTATTTTAATATTAATATTCTAAACAAATCTTGGATTTCATAAATCCAAGTAAATAGAGAAATTTATTATAAGATTCTAAGAAAGAAATGTAATCACTAAAAAACTACAATAACAAATAAGAATAATGAATTTCTTAGGATTTGTTGTATCCAAAACTAACATTGATGAATGGTATTTATTTGCTGTGAAATTTCGTAGGATTTCAAATGATAATTCCAATAAATATCCATATTCTGGACAACCTTAAAAAGTTAAAAATAAGCTACTCCCACGGAACCTTCTTAGAAATATGCAGAGACATATTTATATTTAATATTTCTTTCGATTTTAAATATAAAACTCATTTTATAACGTAAACACTACAAAATAAGTTTATATTTAGAACCGAAAGAGTATTATTTTAGATTCTTAATATAAAAACTAATTAACTAATTTAAATAAATTAAAAATTAATTAAATTAATTATTAATTACTTATAGGGAAAATTCCAGAAAAGGTCCCTCGAATATATGAAATCCCAGATTGGGTCCTAGAATTTCCAAAATGACAGAAAGGGTCAGTGACCCAATCTGTCATTTGACAAATCAAGAAGAATTGACAATTTTACCCTCATTTGTATTCATTCACTACAATGATTTAAGAAATCACTATAAGGGTTTAAGCATTACTTAGATTCATGTAGCGAATAACTACTCGTTTTTTCATATTCAGGTGTCTTGTTATTAACTACAACTAATTTTGTAATCACTAAAATAATGTAAGTATTACCTAGATTCGTGTAGAGAATAACTATTCACTTTTTCATAGTCAGGCACCTTATTATTAACTACAACTAATCTTGTAATTATTAACTACAACTAATCTTGTAATCACTAGAACAGTGTAAGCGTTACCTAGATTTGTGTAGAGAATAACTACTCACTTAGTCAGGGGCAAAATTGTCAATTGGTCTTAATTTCACAAATGACAGATTGGGTCACTGACCCTTTCTGTCATTTTACAAATTCCAAGACCCAATCTGGGATTTCATATATTCGAGGGACCTTTTCTGGAATTTTCCCTTACTTATAATAAATATGTACTATCTTTATTAAAATATCCTTCTTAATCAAATTAATCTACTAAAATTTATACTACTATAAAAACTACCTTAAAAAATAATAGAGAAGGACATAAGATAAATTATGATCTTCTATTTAAGATTAGAATAAATATCAAATAAGTTTTCATATAAAATTAAGAACAAGTATATCATTAAAATGAATCATATTATTATGAAATATAAAAAGTATAATTTGTTTAACGACCGTCCTGAAAGCACAAATGTCCGCATTCCCAAACCCGGAGTACTTGTAGTTGTTTCCACAGCTAAAATCTGCAGGCCACAGATGCCTTGTTACTAATCAACTTTCTTTCTTCTACCCCTGATGTCAAGATATTATCATCTTATCACCACACACCCCATCCAATTTGAGAATGCCATATCAATTCCGCAGGTTCCTCCAAGGCAAAACAAGAATGATACGAACACTAGTGATAACAATAATATTAATATGATAGAATAACCAGGTCTGGAGAAACAATAATAATAAATTAAATGTGAACCCGTGACCATAACGCAAAGAACAAAAAGAAGAAAAGGAAAAAAAAAAAAAAACAAGAATATCACAACAATATAAGCCTCTCTGTCTCTGGATTCTAGAAGATCAAAACAAGGGTGGCCCAGGCCATTGCCAAGCATCCCAATGCCTTCTTCAAGCATCTGATGCTACCTGCTCCGCTCTGCAATAACAAAATCGAATAAATTCAGGAACTGAAATTCTGATCCTAGAATAAAAAACCACTTAATTGCTGATATTTCAAGAGTGCATGACCCATGCGTGATTTCAGTGAATTTCTGACCCACGCCAGCTCCTTCCATTCAGATTTTTTTTTTTTAATCATTAAGGATGTCACCAAGTTCAAATGAAAAAGATAAAATGAGACTTCAAATTTAGATTTAGGTTTTATCAAATAAATTAACACCCACTAGTGATCTTAATTCTTTAATCACCATCCCGAATACTCATAAGGAATTTAAAATAAGGGATTATCCCAAAACTAACATATTTAGTATAAAACAATTCAGGAAAAAATATTCATTATTCAATTCACAAAAGGACACGCCTGACCAGGACAACAGTGTGCCCTGAATCTCAACGACTGTTCACCACGCTTGAGCACGGAGCTTACCCAGGCTCAGTGGAAATGGAGTTCAAACATGAATGAGAGAACAAGATGCCCTTCCGATCATGTTTCAGACAGAAACCTCCGCTTCACTCATTATATAATGCCTAAGGGTGCGAAGTAAAATTTGGAACTAAAACCAGATGAACTACTCAGTCTATGTTCCAGATCTATTGACCATAGTACTGTTCAGCGTACTTTAGAGCAAAGCGGGAAGACATAACGGTAGATAAGGACAAATTGAGAGATCGTACCTCATCGTTCTCAGAAGAGGCTGGGCCAGGAGAGATGGCAGACTCGCTGGGTCCTGGAGCTCCTGTAGGCGGTGCAGGAGGACTCATCAATGACGGCGACGGTGCAGGTGCATTGTGCTTCTTGCTCTTCTTCTTCGATTTGCTGGGAGCCGGCGCGGGAACCTCCACAGCCGGTGATGGAGGAGAGCTCACAGGAGGAGCTGTTGGCGTCGGAGCAGGAGGAGAGCTGACTGGAACAGGAGCCGGGGGAGAGCTCACTGGGACCGGTGCAGGAGGAGTCGAGGTCGCAGGAGTAGCTGCCGGAGGTGACGATGCCGGAGATTTACTCACCGGAGCCGGCGCCGCAGCCTTCGATGGAGATGGAGCTGGCGATGCAGGTTTAGGAGATGAAGCAGGAGACGCCGATTTGGGGGAAGCAGCCGGAGCTGGCGATTTGGATTTCGATGGGGCTTCCGCTGGTGATGCAGCTGGTGTGGCAGCAGCCGGTGTTGCCGGTGACTTGGGCGGCGCAGCTGCCGGAGACTGACCTCCGACCCCGGCGACCACAATGCAGAGCAATGCGATAGACAGCACACTTTTCCGATCCATTTCCTCGAGTTGCGTGTACAAGAGAGGGAGGTACGAGCATCGAGAATAGTGGCTGATGCTAATATATAGACGATGAGGTGGTAACCTGGAAGAAGCAAGAACAAAACGGACGAGTGCAAGTTCATCAGGACCGCCAATGTAGAGTGGGTCCCACAACATATGGGTCACCACTGGCCGTTGGATCACGTATTTCTGAAGGGCCACGCACTATGATCCAAACAAAAATAACTGTAGCCTGACTGGAATGGGCCCAAACGGCCCATTAAGGGCATGTAATGAGGAAGAATCATTAGTGGGCGGACACGTCAGCTTACGCCATTTTATTTTGGCCTTCATTACCCCTCAGCACTATTTTTTTTATTTTTTTACTATACATAAATATTTTTTTATTAGAGATAATTCTATTAAAAATTTCTCTCCAATAAAAACTTAAAATTTTTTTTGATAACTATTAAAAAAAAACTTAAATTTTGATTCTTCACGTTGTTGTGAGTAACCATTCATCCGCCGTCAAAGGCAATGGCACGATCTTGTTTGTAGCTTTCTGGCGCTGATTTGGTGTTTTTCGGCCTCAGAAGCAGTTGATGTTATTGATCCAGCTGGATTTCCGAGACTGGAATGACAGTTTGATGATCCAATTGTCATCCGCCACGAGAGCAACCTCACAATAATTGCACGAAACTTGTGGGCCACTCCACCTTCCGTTTGGGGGCCCTCAATGTTGCCTTAATTACAGTGTCTTTTACCCCAAATACTTCAAAATATCCAAAACTTTAACATTGTTGGTTTCTATTTAATTATATAAATATATATGAACTTATTGTAGTCTTTCAACAACTAAATAATAAAATAAATTGTCGATCAAAAGTTTCAACTTAATAAACTTCATTAAATGTTCTTAAGTTATATAGGTAAATATCAAACATTGTAAAAATGCTAATTTTATAATTTACATTAATTGGTAGTATGATCATTCTATTTATCAAATTCTATAAGCAGCACTAGTATATACATTAACATCTTAGAAAATTTAACTGTATCATTTGAGTTAATGCCCACTCCAATTCCGTAATCCGAATTCAATTTTTTATTTAAAAAGTTTCAAAAAAAAAAAAACCTAAACAAATAGTGCTCGGCTGCTGGCCCATTCTCCTTTGAGGTTTTAAAAAATGCAAAGAAAATTACTAAATAGGAAATAGACGGTAAAAATTGCTCCATAGCAATAGGGTAAGAGACACATGTAATTTTCTCCCAATATCTATTTCAACATTTTATTTGTTTTTTTAAGCCAAAACGTAGAATCATCTGAAAAAAAGTATCAAATTTAATTCTCAATAGAAGAAGAGTGTTGGCCGTGGGTGAGAGGATATATAAAAGGAGCCGATGGACAAATGCTCAAAGCTTAAGAATTCTTTTTGTGTTATTATTATTATTAATAAAAAAATTAAATGAAGGCGAAGCTTAACCTTGTGTGGATACTTTCCTTTATACTTTGTTCATATCACGACTTTTCCTTTTTTTTTTTTTTTAATGTTTTGCCCCACAAGGCACAAGCCATACCAGAAAAGACCAACACTCACCATTTCACACGCCGTCCACAAACTTTTTTTTTTTTTAATAAAAAGGAAATTATGAAGCATTGCTTTCTTTCTTGTTTTTCTTTTTTTTTTTGATGAAACATCAGGGTATCCACCGACGGATCCGGTGACTAATCCCTTCACTGGCTTGTAGGTACCTTGATGAGTGAGACAGCTGGCCCAGGGTTTTAAAGCTTTTCCATGCCCAAAACAAGGATCGAACCCTCGACACTTGATTAAGGGAGGATGAGCCCCCACCGCTCAATCACACCCCCGGGTTCTTCTTTCTTGCTTGTTTTTCTCCCCCAACGAAAATATCATTCTGGTGGGACTGTTGTTCTTTACACCTTTACTTGGGTTATAAGGGAAGTGTAGAATCTAGAATGTGTCCTTAATGTAGCAACCCCCTCCCTTCATTTATCTTTATTCGGGACAGTAAGACCAAATTATTCCCACTCCACCTTCTTTGTTTATTTTTTTCAAACCTTTGCTTCCATCTTTTTCGTTAAGTTTTAATGTTGTTAGTCATTATTAATATGTGAAGAGATTCCTGCTTCAAGAGTAAGGAAGATGAAAACCCAAGAGTTGCTCAAGGAACCTAGAAGTTATTAAATTTTAAATAAAATTTTTTTACTAAAACATGTTGTTATTTCCAAGTCAAAACCAATTGAAGCGTAGAAAATAATCTAATTTAGAATTTAGTCATTTTCAAATTTTTTTTGTGGGATTTTCCCTTCTTAATGTAAGAGTTAGATAAATAATTTATGAGTAATAAAAAATTTAGCTAAAGTATTTATTTGTAATAAATATATATTGATTTTTCTTGTAATATCCCTTTTAATCATGTGTATTGTAATTAATATTTAATAAAAACTTTCTCATTATATACAATCAAAATAGTAGCTTTGGGGGAAAATCATAAATTTATGAGAAATAAAATGAATTGTGGTCTTATGTTTATGATTAAGGTAAATCTCTTGTCTAATTTATTATTTAGGGTAAAAAAATAATGTGTTTTTATTTCAGATGCTTCAAATGCTAGAAGTGTTAAACGATTGATGAACCTTTCATCTTGTCACAGAATCCTCAATGGGCCTCGCATAAGGCCTATCTCCACACCACTTTAAAGCGAACACGGAAAGCCACTGCAGATTACTACTTTACCCTTGGACCCCTCCCGCAAGCATAGTCCAGGAGCCTCCCAAGTTGGAAATATGCGTTTAAAGCCCATGTCATGCAATTACATCAAAGTGGACCCACACATGGAAGTTTGAAAATTGAGCCACAAATTCATAACTCATGGATATTATGGCTCTCTGTAGATTTTATGATTTAAATTGCTTGCTATTTTTGCTCCAAAAAAAAAAATTGCTTGCTATTGATATTGATATACCAAATGACTTTAAATAAACATACCGTTTGATGCAAGCAGGATCTACTCTTTCCATGGAGATGCCTGTTGAATTATAATGCTGCAGAAAAGCCTGAACTTAAAAGTTTAAACAAAAGGGCTTTCTTGAACCACGCAAAGCTGCCACTGTAGTAGAAGACCACGTGCCCACAAATCCAAGGCCGTGCACGCTTATGTCTTTCTTCATCACTACCCATGGCATCCCAATCAACCAACTCACGTCATAGAGCTTCTCCAAGTACACCCCAAATCATGCCCTCTTTGCCTCCTCTGGTTTTTATAATATGCAACTAAGATTTGAATTCTGGTGAACGCGACATCCACATTTTTATCCACATTTAGTGTCTGATATTACTTTGGATATGTTTTCTATAAGAGAGTACCTATGTTTAATTAAAATCTAGTAATTCTTCTTGTATATGATGTTTTTCATTGTCTAAGGCTCAAAGTCAAAACTCATGCAAAATCAAAATGCACTTCAGCTTTCCCCCCACTCAATTTAAATTGTGCTGAAAAGATCTTCTTACAATAGACGATTCTAGTAGCCTATAGTCAAAGTTCATTAGTGGGTAACTTCATTTTGAAAAGCAGCTGCATTTGCACATTTCATATTTGGCTCCATTTACAAACAACGGTAGCCGCATTTCCTTGAGACACGCCCACTTGTACTTGCCTTAGTATTATATTTTTGAGCGAGTCACTTTTTGAGTTGGAAACCAGATGACGAGGAAGCTTGTAAAGCTTGTCATGGAGGGGACCATATCCAGCTCTTATTAAGTACTTAATACCCAAGAGATCTAGATCAATAGCCATCATTACAACCTTGTTGGTCTTTTAGTCTGTTCTCTCTTCCCGTTTCTTTTCCAAACTAGTTGAACTTCTGGCTTTTCATGTCTTCTCGTAGAGCTCATGTCAGAATACATGTAAGTTCAGGATAGATTCCTGGTCCATCCTCCAGCTATAGGTTGTTGTTTAGAGCTTTTCTTCTTTGGGGTAAGCAAAACATGTGCTTTTTAGAGCTTTGTTTGTTCATTAGCTCATTGCTCTTTGGAAGCTAGCATAACAACCATTTTCATGGAAGCACTCTTCCTTTCATATGTTTTTTCGAGCTTTTCCTGTTCGTTTTCTTCATTCCTATCTGATTTTCCTCAGAAAGAAAAACAATGAAACTCCTTTATGGTTTTTTCAAGCTTGGATCTGTTGTTTAAAGCAATCATGGCCCCCCATGTATGGAATTTATGATACTCACCCTCTATATGTGTCGTGCAGTCCAAATTAATCCTTATTCTGTAAGTGTCTCATAGGCCCAAAGGACCCCCACAAATTTCAGCTTCTTTCAGCCAGCCATGGAATCTCCAATCCCAGAGAATTCAACCTCCAAGAGAGTTCAAAAACTGCCTCCTTCTACACCTACATGCACAAACTGTTCTTGTTTCTTCTGCAACATGTCTGAAACAGACCCTTTGGTCAGAAGAGCTAAAATCGCTCGTTGCCTCAAACAAATGCCTCTTAGGGATGACAAAGAACATGTCTTGGCCTTAAGCAGCCTTTGGAAAATCGCCATGACTAAGCCAAATGACCCAGAATTTCCATGCCTGGGCATATTCAGATGCATGGCGAAACTCATCCAGAAGGGCCTCAGAAATAAGGGTTGGCTTCTTAGTTACCAGAACATATACATCCCATATTATGCAGCGCATATCATTGGCTCTTATACCATGAACAAAGCTAAGTTTGCTGAAAAAGCAGTTAAGTCCAACGTTGTTGGGCCATTAATCGATCTCCTACGAGGTAAGATCAGTTGGGTTGAAGAGAGAGTTTCACTTCGAGCGTTGGGTCACTTGGCAAGACATGAAGCAACCTTTGAAGCTGTAGGAGAACACGAGGAAGAAATCATAGAAGTAGCCATTCACATAGCTTCCTCGTGCCTGTACGAGGTATATGATCAATTTGTTGGGTTGCAGGAATCCCAGAGATTGGAGTATCATCGGAATTTGTTAACTAGAGGGCTTGGAGGGCTGGAAGTAGAGAACAGAAAGGCAGAAGAATGGGCCAGTCAACTTCAGTGTTGGTCCTTATATCTCCTAGACTGCTTTGCATGCAAAGAAAGATCTCTCGGATTAATCTGCAAGAAAAAATTCTTGAAGGATCTGTGCACAATGTGGGGTGGGTTGGCGAACCCAAAATCTCCTTCTGGAATTGGACTTCTTCGAACTCTGTGTTATACTAAAATAGGAAGAGAAAGTATAGCAGCTGTCGAGGAAGTCGTAGAGAATCTTTGTATTGTCTCAAGATCTTCAGATGATCGACAACACTTGGCTATTGATAGTCTTCTACAACTCCTCAAAGACCCAATCACGAGGTATAAAGTAATCGAAATTGTAGCTCCAGTTCTTGCTGATTTGGTTGAACTCAAAGGAGTTCGAGGGAGATTAAAACTAGGACATCAAGCGATTGTGCAAGTTCTGTTACAAGATTATCATAAAATCAAGTACTTTGAAATAAAACTGAAGAGTGAGAAAGCCCAGAAAGCCTTAAAAGGAATATGGGATTTGAAGGTGGACAGAGTGAAGAGAGAGAGTCTAATGAGCGAGCAAGAAATCAGAGAGAGAGAGACATTGGCCTGTGTTCTGAAACAAGAAGGGAATAAGAAGTTTAGGTCAGGGAAGGTTGAAGAAGCTGTGGTGAAGTATTCAGAAGCCATTGATCTATGTCCAGTAAAAGCAAGAAAAGAGAGGACAGTGCTTTACAGTAACAGAGCTCAGTGTTATTTGGTTCTTAGAGATGCAGAGGCAGCCATTAGCGATACCACTCGAGCTCTGAGCCTGTCACACGTGGCATTTCCTCACAGTAAAAGCTTGTGGAGAAGATCACAAGCTTATGACATGAAAGGCCTCGCTAAGGAAAGCTTGATGGACTGTTTAGCGTTCATCAGGAGCCGCTTCAGGTCTCAGAAGACGAAGACGTTCAAAATCCCATACTACGCGGCTCGCATGCTTAACAAGCAGATGAACGCCACGTGGCTTTTTGCTTCAGCCAAGTCAAGGAGGAGCATCAAACACGTAGATGAACTTGACGAGTTCAAGGGCCAGTATCAGGTTGATGTAAAAACCATGAGGAAGATGACAACCAGGAAGAAAGAAGGTGAGTTTAGTTTATCTCTTGTTTCATTAATATCTATATTATATGAAAAAAGATAATAATAAACCATCAAATTAAATTCGCATATGTGATTGTGCATGACACTTATTTTTGCGATACAGATAAAAGGCCTACAACCTTAAATTTCTGTGGTTGATGGAGGAATGTTAAGTTTTATGGAACGGTTCTTTTGTTTCCTTACAGGTAGGAGAAGAAAGTCAGATAGGTCGACGACAAGAACAAATGTTACCCGACAAAGATTATGAGTGGAGAAAAGGAGAAATTAAAATTGATATATGGATACGGCATCTCAACAAATGTTTGACCCATGGAGGTACATTTTTGGACAGGGAATCTTGTAGTGTCTAGGTTGTTCTTCAGTATATAAATGTATATTTATTTAATCATAATTGAGATAAGCCGGGAATATTAGATATTTATATTATGTTTTAAATATTTATTCAATTTACCACAGGAATTAATCAATGCCTCCGTATATATTTTACTGCCTTACATACAAATTGAATTCCTTTTCTAGCGGTGGAAGATTAGCGTTGCTGACTCTGCTTATTGACGTAAAACTCATTTTATGGTGTATTACAAAATGAATCGTATATTTATAGCATAAAGAAGTATTATATAGCAAGTCTTATACTTTTTATTTGTACTTTTTCTTTTCAAAAACCTATTTCTAAAGCATATGTCTTCAAATCCGTCACTGATTATATGAGCATATATATTAATGCGAAATGCATTATATTATGATCGCAATTTGGCTCGAAATTTACGTAAAATTAAGCACAGTAATATCGTGAAATGATGGCTGCGAGCCATATGAGGGGTCACCAACTTTGGCTTTGTAGCAGTTGGAAAATCTAATCAATCAGCTTTCGGGTCTTTCATAATTCATAATTAGTTTTTGTGATGCGACGTATTTAGACATTAAACAACTAAATATATATATTTTTCACAATAAATCAATCAACGTGGGATTAAAATCGTTGACATTCAGGCACCCATGATCAGTCACGGAGGGCTGGGATTCTATGATATTTCGAATAGAGAAAAGGAAGAAGTGAATAGGGAAAAAGACCAAAAAAAAAACATTTAATATTCCAAATTTCATATTAGTATTAGTGAAAAGTAAAAGTTCATATCAAATCAGAGATACTGATTTGTCATTTTCAAATATTAGTAAAAGACAAATTTGTCCTTGATAAATTGATAAAAAAAAAAAAGACAACACAGAAAAAAAAGTTAGTATAATTTATTTATATAAAGATGTTGTCAATCTATATGAAAGAGTAGTTAACGTGCCTAACAAGGAGACAACATGTGATTCGTCTCAGTTTTCCAATTGGTTTGCCTTATAATGAATTTTATTAATTACTTGTTGTCAATATATATAAAGTATTGTTAATCTATTTGGAAGAGTTGTCAACTCGTCTCGTAAAGAACTCAAAATCATTAAATTTGTTGCTAAATTCAAAATCACTAAACTTACCAATGAGGACAGATTATTTTAGCCATTTCACTAATCATTACTTGATTTTTTTTCATTAATGAAGTACTTAGAGTGGGTATGGGAGCATAACTAGCGAAGGAAAAAATATTGCTCTGCACTACTCAATTACACCGGGTGGCAACTGCAGTCTTTAAAGATGAAGCCTTTCAACTAAATTTTACTATTTATATACGCTATGCTGGAAGATGCAGTTCATCACTTCGCTAATAACGACACCCCTCCAACCTTTGCTTTCTTCTTCGGTAGGCACTTGAAGATTCGAAGCAAGCTCTAGTTTAAGAGGAAAGGGTTCCATTAAAAATCAAGGTGAAGAAAAATCAAGCATTCCAAAATAGTTAGGCCTTGTTTGCTATCAAAACTGAAATTACTTATAAGCACGTTTTACATAAGTCGAAACAAAATTCCTCCCACATACTTACCTCATATTTTATAAATTACAATTGAAAAACTACTTATAAGTTATTCTAAACAAACCCTTAATCTGGTGAGATAGAGGTGGTGGGTTTGCTATGGGAGAGAGATTGAAAGAGTGCGAAGGGGATAAAGTTCGTGAGGTCGTTGTGAAAGAGAAGGTGAGCCGGTGAAGAAAAAAGAAAATGGAAGGGGAAAAAAGAAGAAGCAGAGGGGCACTGCGGTAAATTAACGCATTCAAAAATCTTATTTTGAGACTCTGGTATGATGATTTGAGATTAGTGGAATTAGAGCCATCGATTTGGGTTTTATGAATTTTAAACGCATCTTTCTGTCTTTTTCCCGAGTGAATAAGGGATGACATTGTTGATGGGCTCACCAAGAGAAAAGACGAAAAAGTCCAATTATTTTATTATTTTTATTACCTTATTATTTCTTTGGTGACATATTTAACATTTTTTATCCATAGATTAATTAATTATCATATTTTGATTAATTTGAATTTTAAAATTAAAAACTAAAAATTGATAAAATCAATAAAATATTAATAAATTAAGTGACTTAATCCTAGTTAAAAATTAATTCTTTATTTTCTTTTTACGTGATTTAATCTTTTGATTATAATAGAGGTGTATGATATGTATATTAATAGGCTCATTCCAATTCGTTTTATGTGAATTATATATCATATGAAAATATTTTATTATTAACTAATAATACATTTTAAGTTTTTTGTTTTATTAATATATCGATACGACATAAATATTGGATCTCCTCCCATCATAATTAAATCATTAAATTATATTATATATAATCTTATGTCTTAATTTAACAATCAATGGAGCTTCTCTAGAATATTGGATTCCAAAAATCAAATCAATTTATTTTCGTTACACACTCATTATATCTTCTAAAAATAATTTAACTCACAATCTGGTATTTAGGAAGCCTTGTAAAAAAAAAGGTGTTTGGTGTCATTTGAATTACAAACAACATCAGATCAGCTTTATACCTTAAAAACAAAAACTTCAAGGCAACAGATATCATTTAAATTCAAACAATAGTTAAACTAAATATATTTTTACTCATAATAGATACCCTTATTTTCTAAGAATTTTGTTATTATTTATTTATATATTGAACTATAATCTTGCTGATGGAGGAAATTTTGTTAACGGCACTTTATCTTTTGTGTGTTAATTTAGTCTACCAATCTCTGGTATGATTTTAATCGTGTTAATTTATTTTAAATTTTAAAATGTGTTTAAACCATACTTGACATTTATCGTATATATTACATGCAGCTCTAATTCATTTTTTTTTTTTGGTACGATAGTAAACTTTTAACTGGAGATATGTTTTTCAAAAAAGTAAATTCGTTTAAATGATATATTTGATTAAACCATAATATCACATTTTATAAAAAGCGAAATTAAACAGAATATTCTTGCAAGATGTATATCGGTGATATATTTAAATTTAAATATTAAGAAAATTGGAATGAACTTCTGTGTGTACCTGAATGGATTTTAAAAGGGATGATGTGATTTGTTTATGTTTTATATGATTATATGTATTGTTATCGATGGGGATTTAACAACATTAAATAAAATCTATTCAAAATTTAAAGAATTAATTATAACATGTTATATTGCATTAAGATTCATTTATTATAAGACTCAACACACGAGAATAAAACATAAATTTTTCCTGAGTCAGCACTTTTGCTTGCACGCACTAATGGTTTGAATAATTTGAATAATTTGAATAAATTGATTTCGTGCTAAATAGCATTAATATTATATGCATAACTAGAAAGTTCCAAAATAGAAAAATAATTGCATCTTGAAGATATCCATATATAGTTTCCTAAAAGTAATTCTTTTTATGCCACTAAAGTGTATAAATTATAATTTATCGTACCGGTCTACCATCCTAATGCTATTTAGCACGAAATCAATTTTCTAGAAAGCAAATCATGGTGGTTTTGTGGGTGAATTCGTTTAATTTAATTTTTTATTTATAAAAAAACTTGAATCGGAAAATTTTCATAAGATTATTTTATTTTGTCATGTATATTAATTAGCTGTGTCCCAGCTCATTCCGCCACAAATATTAGATGATTCAAAACCTTTATTCCTTCAACGAAGTCCACAAAGATTTGCTTTGGCATCAAAGTCCAAAGATATGCAGATTACCTCACCTGACCTAACTAGTTGGTTTTACGTCCGCACTGAATAATAAAATAATAAATAATAAGTCAAAAGTTGGAAATATGAATCATGGATGTGACCTAAACATGAGACATGACTTAAAACAATATAATAAAAATAATTCAACAAACAAAACAAAGGGTCCGCGAATTTTTATTTTGAGGGATGGCCGGGAAGCCGAAAAAAGCCTGTACGGAATAACATTAAAAAAATATTTATAATATATTTTATATAAGTTGAAACAAAAAAATCATCATAGATACTTATCTCATATTTTATAAATCAGAATTAAAAAAAAAGTATTTATAATTTATTTCAAACGAGCACAAAATTAGGAAAGGAAGAGTTTTTGTTTATGGGCCAATATGACTGTTATATCACTTAATAATAATAATATAATAATATACGCTGACAACACTGGCTGTTGAGGGCTCGTCGTTTATCATTCATTAATTAGTCTAACGAACTTAATATATTAAAGATGCAAAGAATAATGACAGGACAAATTCTTACGTTAGCAAAAATTGTGCGGTTTTATTCGTTTGTATTTTGGTAGTGCAGGATCGTGAAGTCTTTTTTTTTTTTTTTTTTAATCTCTTGTGATAAGTAGGATCATGAACTCTAGATTTATTAAAATTGGTCTTTTGAGCGGATTCAACTACCATTATAAATAGTAGTCGGTTTTGGATCCTCAACTAAATAAGAATGGACCGGGTCTATGGATTTGTCACTCTTCAAGCCCAAATATCTCTCTAGTGCACCGTCCTGTTTATATACCATAACAATATCCATATCAGAGCACATTGAGAAAATATTATTTGCTTCATATATAGATTTTACAAAATAACTTACAAATAGAAGTCTAATATCATT